AGAGTCCTATATATCATCAGTTTTCTATCTTAAACTAGTATAAGTTTACCATCACTAAAGTTGGAAACGATGTTCTGCAATAATATTTAACCGTATTAGTAGTTTGATTTTTCCCGAACATTTGTTTTAAATTAAACTGATTATGTTTAAACTAGCTAATAGGATAGCTTTATAAAACTTTGCTAAAGCATACATCCTCGTGTTGGCTTTTGGTTAATTTTTCTTTCCATATTCCCCAAAGTAGTGGTCAAAGTTTTAGGATTATGATTACCAAAAAAAGTGTGAGGATTAGTTTTTCTTCCGTATGAACAGAATAAATTAAATACGGACGATGTGTTAAACCCTTTTAGACCATTTATTGAAACATATAAATACTTTAAATTCTCAAATAGGGACCATGAATTTTTGTAACTAATAGATTTTTGATTTTTTGTCAATATGTTAGTCGTTTTTTGTCACATAAAAGTCCTTGACTTTGAAATTAGGTTATACATAATAGGAGGATTAGTTAGCTATCGATCGGCTAGGGATGATTCCATTAAGTCATTGACTAAGTTTGCGTAATTTGTGATAAGAATGTAAGATAAACGTCAAAGGCTTTGAAACTTGTTTGCCGTCAAAATGTCCAACCCATTTGCCATAGACTAATTAAAAATACATAATTTGTAAAACGAGTATGAGCTCCTTTTTGTACATAACTTATTTTTATTTTTAGACAAAATGGTTTCTGGAGGCTCTCTTTATTACGATCCAAAAAAAACAAAATAACACCAGCTAGAGAGGTATTTGGTATTTTCTACGATGTGTTGTCAGTCGGATTAATAAGAGTAGAAGATGGCAAACCGTTCAGAATTTATCAATGTCAACTAGGTATTCTTCTGTTCGATTCATTAGTTACACGGTCCATTAATAAACTTAGTCATTGAATTATTTGTTAGAAATTGTTGGTTTTTGGTTTGGTTGGTTATTAAAGTGATCATGCATATAATTGGTTCAATTAGTTACTTAAACAATTATATAATAGAATTAGACACATCCATTATCTTTTTATTAAATAGTATTTTCCAATACAAAACCATATATTACAAGTCGAAAAATTAAAAATAACTATTCATGATAACCGGGTCCTCGTGGTATGGTGGTAATGGAGTCTCAGCTGAGGTGCCCGCTATCACGAGTCCGAGTCCCGACCACCCGGGCTGCTTTAAATGGTAAGAATATGTGGACTGCTGTGAGCCTCGTAAGATTAGTCTTGAGCCTTGGATCACCCACGGTTAAAAAAAAAAAAAAAAAAAAAAAAACTGTTCACCTCGATTATCTATTGTGGACCTTGTTGGTGTGATATTTCTTCTTTTAGTCATATCTATTATTCAAAGGTGAAATGTTCCAGAAGCTCAGAAAGAAGAACAGCAAAAATTTCGAATTTTCTAGTGAAATCGTAAGATAGTCCACAGTACATCTATCCCTCCACACTCCACAGTTTCTACTTTCTAGAAGCTAATTTATTTATTGCCTCTCCACAATGCACAGTTTCTAGAAGCAAATTTATATATTGCTTTCTTACTTGTTTTCGTCACGGAGGACATATTTGACTAATTTGGTTTACCAAAATGAACTATTTTTCAAAATCTATACTTCATTCGTACGTCTACGTGTTTTTGTGTGTACGTCATTTGATTTCTGGTCTAAGAACTTTAAAATTTGTTGGGCCGGGCCTGTGCTGTGAGGTTGCACTAATTTGGTATCAATTCCATTCATAAGTTGAAAAACCTTGACCGCCATGGCTGTCCCCATGGCGCTCACTTATAGAGATTCGCTTGTGAAATCCGCAAGCACGTCGCTTAACAGTAAAGTCGTTACCCAGTACTCTAAGATCGTCAAGAAGTTTGGTGGGACTGTCAATTGTTGAAGTTAGACCCTCTGTTGTTTCACCATGTGCTATTGCACCTAAGGTAGTCTTTTTGTGGTTTAGTACGAGTGTATGTGTTACTACTAACTTGATATCAAAATTTCACTTCTTGTAACAAATCACGTTGAATGGAACGTGGTTCCATACTTAACGCTTTGTTGATGCCATTATTAGTTATCGTGTCTATATCTTAGTGCTTCGTATAATAGCATGCATATCCATTTCTTCCTTGCAAAAGTATATATATGATTAATAGTCTTTTACTCTTTTTGTATTCATTGAACCATCGCTTGTCATATGATTTGATTGGTTATCATGCTTTTTCTTGTAGCCACGTTTGCTATGAAAAATGCATGAACAAAGTGATGTCTAGTTGTCTTTGAATTATAGATGCATTCAACCACCAACTAACATACATTCAATATCATTCATATACCATTGTCAAGAATGGTGCATCTTGTTAGGAATCATATAAATATATATATATATGAATGACATATGAATGACAGCACTACATAGAATCATATGAATGACATATGTCCTTCTACATAGATTCATAATTAAACCCGAGCATATCGGAAGAAGCGAGATAGGAGCCAATGTCATAGGCCATAGCCATAGAGGTAGCCAATACATCTTAGCAAGTAATCTAAAACTCAATTAATGTATAGAATCACAGTCAAGCACCATTGTCCACAGCTTTTTAAGTAGGTCACTTGAGTTCAATTGGGGCCACTAGAAGAATTTCGTAAAAAGCCCTAAACCTTTGACTATGTACAAAGTCAAAAGTATGATGCCCCAATATGGTCCAATGATTCTTCCACTTGTTTCCAGTCTCTCCACCACCTTTCAACACTTTCCCGCTCTTAACCATCCTTTTACATTTCTTGTCTCACTCCTTTTTTCCATTACAAATTAAGATTTTTAGTTGAATACCTGAATTAAAGAGAAATATATACAACTAAAAAAGTATATACTTATTGTATTAGGCTATTTAGTGTAGGAGAATTCTTTACAATTGTAGTAGAATATTGCATTAGCATATAGTATTTTTTTTACAAAATTAAGGCTTGCTAGTTGCTTCTTTCTTTCCTATGTTTACATGTATTTTTTTTGGGACCAAATCTATGTTTACTTGTTACTTATATAGGGGACAAAAAATCGACTAGATTATGGTGTTGATTTCTTTTTCATTATCAGTAAAACGAAAACAATACAAGACTTACGATTGATTTATAGCTTACTAGATGATGGTATCAGACTAAGAGAAATATCTTATTATCTGAGTAAAGAATACCGGTTTGGTTAGATTAAGTATAAAAAACAAATTAGATGAGTTCTCTAAAATTATTTTCTCACGTACCCACTTTGGTAGATGTTCTCAACCTGAGCCTGGGAGGTTGTTGCTGAGCATTTTCAATCCAATCATTCACTGGCCAATAATTAAAAAGAACAAAAACAAAAGTATAATCATGATAGAATACTTAACCGTTTAGAAAATTGAATATGATATTTGATGACTTTAGTTTTCCTCTTCATGCTGACCACACTGGTCAAGCAGGAAATGAAATTTTTAATATGAATTAAGAAGAAAAAAAAACTAGGATAGCAATAATTAACACGGCTAATATGTTTATGCAGATAATGGTAACAACTAGAAGTGGTCCATCGGCTGTCGTTGTACAAGATCCGGCCTAAGAGCCGGCTAGAGAATCGTTCTTTTCTACATATATACAATCATATGTTTCTGGTTTTTCTTTTTGTACATTGATAATATATGAGTTTATCGATTTTTTATGAAGATAGTGAAACAACCAATTAGTAAAATTGGGTACCTTAGCTGAACTATGAGTAAAATTTGTGTTGGCTGAATTTTTATCAGTACTAACAACCAATTACACCCAAAACATGACTTAAAGATTTAATTTGTTTGCATTCTGCTACAACTATAAGCTACCGTCACGAGTTGACACGCTTTAAAATTAACGAATTAATTAAGGGGATATATTTTTTTTATTATGGTGAGCATAACCAATATGAAATTTAAAAGAGTGAACTCCTGTTTCGATTCTGAAGAACAACTTTAGTCGTCGATAATGATAAATTTTATTATCTTTAAATAGGGTTTGATAACTACCAAAATAATTTGTATTCCATATAACCACTCAAACTAACCACATTTGAATGATTTCCGCTTTGTTTAATGAGATACTTTACAATTAAATCAACAAAATTATGCATATGTGTCAGCATGCAATTAGATGACTCCACCTATTAGTATATGTACATATAGATCGTATAAACTACAGTATGACATAACTAATGACATCTTACCTACTACTAAATACTATATGGATATGATTAGATGCACATGCACACATATAAGAAAATCACAAACATACTAGAGTGTATATCAAATTGCCTATATTGGATTCCAATGATTTTAACATTTATTTGTTATATATTCGATAAGGCATTGGATGATCACCAACTCCTTTTTAAACTTGAAAATTTGGTCATCAGATAATAATCATCATTAAAATAATTGTTGGATTATTTTTGTGTTACAAGCAATCATCTCGTTGAATAAAAGGGCCATATGATCTAATCCTGAATCGAGCATGCCATTTTATATATTATGCCAAATGTCACGGACCGTATATACGAACTTCCGTGATAACCTATCGCTTGCGTAATGTACTAATCTCTAAAACCAAGAAGATCGGTGCCATGTTTATTCAGTTAGTCCAAAAGACATTATATCACGTAACCATGATAATGTCACGTAACCATGATTTACGACGAGATTTTAGCACTTTTCTTGACATAATTGTCTTTTTTATTTTTAAAAATTACAATTCTCTCCGCCAAGAAATGCACCCCACTATTAGAAGTCAACACAGACAAAAAAAACAAATAGCGCAAATAAAAATAAAACAAAGTCAAAAGCTCGCCAGTTCTCTTGTTATAATATTGTTATACAACATCCAATCTTGGTATATAATCACCAACCATCTTCTTCTTCTATTTTCTTCATCTTCGCAATCTCAAAGTTTCCAGAAGAGAAAAATTATATACATAACAAGAAAAAATGCTGGGAAAAAGAATAGCTTCCTTCAAGAACTTAGCCAAGAAAGTGAAGAGCATCAACACGACGACTAGAAGCGGAGAAGGCGGCTCAGAGTCAAATCACAACGAGTCTCTTCTGTGCGATGTGGACGGCACGTGTCCGGTGACGGCGACAAAGACGCCGACGGGGACGTTCGCGGTGTACGTAGGGGAAGAACGCGTGAGGCGCGTGGTGCCGACAAGCTATTTGAATCATCCCTTGTTCAGGATGCTACTCGACAAGTCACACGACGAGTTCAACTGTTTCGACCAGAAGGTTATGTTGGTCGTTCCTTGCAGCCTCTCCGTTTTCCAAGACGTCGTTAATGCCATTGAGTCTTGTAATGGCAATTTCGCTTTCGGCGATTTTGTCGAGGAGTTTCTCTGATTTAGTTCCTTTTTTATTTGTTCTTTTTTTTTAGGAAAATATATAATCATAGGAGATTGTGGAATTTGTGATATAACATTATTACATGTTGTAGCAGTAAACACCCCTTTGTTGCGTGGTGTGAATCTTTCTTTTCTTTTCTTTTTGTTCTCCGTGGAATTCTGTAATTTTCCCATAATTATGAGATATGTTATTGTAACATTTTGATATCCTTACATAACAATCCATATTATTTCATTTTTGGTTTCCTAGCTTTATCTGTTTGGTTGCTTATGCTTCAGACATGTTGGTGAGTTGAGTCAGAGCTTGTCTCGGATCGTAACCCATCGTTAAAAGACTGCGACTTCGAGTCTGTGACACTGAGATAGATCAATTACACAATAATACAAGGTGGGTTTTTCCTTCTGTCTTTACTAAATTTTTGTTTTTGAATATGTTTGTTTTTACAATTTTTTATCTTCAAAACATGGGTGTGAAAATACAGATTTGTTAGTTCGTATCGAAATGAAACAACTGTTTCTTCTTCCATGCATATTAGTGTGGAAGCTTCAAAAGAAACATTCTTCAAACGTTTTTGTGTATTTTTTTTCTTGGAGAAGGCTATCGATCATTTGGGCCTTAAGAAATGGGCTGATAAATAAAGTGTGGACCTCGTTGTATGGATGAATCGTCGGCATGTATAAGGGAAGGGTAAAACGGTAAACTAGTAACAACAATCGTTAAATTCGAAAGAAAAAAGAGGAGCGCCTCTTCAAATAATTCAAAATCTCACTCTCACATCACATCCCGCTCTCTCCACTAAGATTCCGTCGCCGGCGAGAGAGGAGAGAGAGAAAGACAGACCGACGATTTCAAATTACAAATACTTTGGATCTTTCCGGGCGGTGAAGGTACCGATTTGAAATCAGCCTCCCTGGATTCGCCGTCCGCCCGCCGATTTAAGATGTCAGGTCGCGACAAAGAGAAAGGCGTCAATGTTCAAGTCCTCCTTCGATGCAGGTTATAATCGGACCATTCTCAAATTGAATTTAGGGTTCTGGGTTCGGTTTTGGGTCTAGTCCCAAAAATTGATTTAGGATCTAATTTCGCTACTGGGTCGACTCACTCCTCTTTCTTCTGAATTTCTGGGTTTTTCAATTTTTGATTTTGACAGGCCATTTAGCGATGATGAATTGAGGAGCAATGCTCCCCAGGTTCTCACATGTAATGATTTTCAAAGAGAAGTTGCTGTCTCCCAAAACATCGCCGGGAAGCACATTGATAGGGTTTTCACTTTCGATAAGGTATAATTTTGCGTCTACTCAGCAGGGATTTTCTCTTTCTGGATTCAATTTCATCAGAATTTACTTAGCATAGGTTGTTTATTTCGGCTTTGGCATGGAAGTAGATTATGGGAACTGCTGAAATAGCCTGTTCTTGGGCTTAGATTTGGATACTTTTTTTGTTATGAAAGAGTCATGTTTGCAAATTCATACGTTGATGTGATCGTTGATACTGAATGTATATATTTCTGTTGCTTTCAGGTGTTTGGACCATCGGCCAAACAGAAAGATTTGTATGATCAGGCCGTTATTCCAATCGTGAATGAAGTGCTTGAAGGTTTTAACTGTACAATATTTGCGTATGGCCAGACTGGTACAGGGAAGACATATACAATGGAAGGAGAATGTAGAAGGTCAAAGGTCTGTGTTTTGTTGCAGTGTATTTGCTTTTCTCAAAGTTTGCTGGTGTTTTAATTGTTCTCTAATACAAGCTATTTACCTCCATTTTTAATTGGGACAGGGCGGGCCTAGTGGAGGTCTTCCGGCGGAAGCAGGTGTTATACCAAGAGCTGTGAAACAAATCTTTGACACGCTTGAGGGTCAGCAAGCTGAGTACAGTGTTAAAGTCACGTTTTTGGAACTCTACAATGAAGAGATTACCGATTTGCTTGCTCCTGATGATATCTCCAGAGTTGCTTCTGAGGATAAACAAAAGAAGCCGTTACCTCTAATGGAGGATGGGAAAGGTGGTGTTCTTGTTAGAGGATTGGAAGAGGAGATTGTGACGAGTGCAAATGAAATCTTCACTTTGCTCGAGAGAGGTTCCTCTAAACGGCGAACTGCAGAAACATTCTTGAATAAACAATCAAGGTAGTGTATTTTGATGTTTGTGTTCTTTGCACATTGATGTCAAGGTTTCTCCTCTACATAATGCAATTCTTCATTTTCAGTCGGTCACATTCTCTCTTCTCAATAACAATACATATCAAAGAAGCTACTCCGGAAGGTGAAGAGTTAATCAAGTGTGGCAAGCTGAACTTGGTTGACTTGGCAGGATCAGAAAATATATCACGTTCTGGTGCTAGGGATGTAAGTAGTATCTTACTGTTCATCGAGTTTGGAGCGTCTTTCCTCTCACTTTCTAGATTTCATGTCTGGTCATATGTCAGATTTACTCAATAAGCTTTCTCTATCTAGGGCCGCGCTCGAGAAGCTGGTGAAATTAACAAAAGTCTTCTTACCTTAGGGCGAGTGATCAGTGCTTTGGTTGAACATCTTGGACACATTCCTTACAGGTTTAAGCTCTTTTCTGGGGTTTGTGTCTGTACGTTAGTGACCATATAGCTGTGCTTCAAGCTATGCTGACTCCTATAATTATTTGTTGCACTGAAACTTAGGGATAGTAAGCTCACTCGCTTACTACGTGATTCACTTGGTGGGAGAACGAAGACATGTATCATAGCAACAGTTTCACCTGCTGTTCATTGTCTCGAGGAAACCTTAAGTACGCTAGATTATGCACACAGGGCAAAACATATTAGGAACAAACCAGAGGTATTGTCTTTTATGATAGTTTTTCTCTTTCTTTCATGAATCCCAAGCCTCTTTTTCATTTTTTGTGGTTTCCGTTTATGCCAGAATTAATTTTTGTACTCTTTTACATTTTCTTTTGGCAGGTGAACCAGAAAATGATGAAATCTACTTTGATAAAAGACCTTTATGGTGAAATCGAACGACTTAAGGCAGGTAAGAAGCATACTCACTGTAGCCAAGGATCACTCAGATTAATAAATTTACACTCAGCACTGACTCCTCTGCTTGTCTATTACTCATATGTTTTCTTTGCTTGTCCATTTAGAGGTCTATGCTTCCCGTGAGAAAAATGGTGTTTATATGCCAAAAGAGAGATACTATCAAGAGGAGAGTGAAAAAAAGGTACCGAGTTTCTGTTCCTCAGATTTTTCATAAGTTGAAGAAAAGACAACGTTCATTTGACCGAAGAGGACATGATAACCTCATCGTCTCATCACTCATCTACTAATATAATCCTTTTTGGCGCTGTTTGTAGGCAATGGGTGAACAGATTGAACAGATGGGTGGTCAGATCGAGAATTATCAAAAGGTTGGTTTCTTCTTACGCAATAGATAAAAGAACATATATTTTTTAACGTTAGTGTCAAAAATAACAAGTAAAATTGGTATTTACATTTTTTTTTTTTTTTTACCAGCAACTTGAGGAGTTGCAAGACAAGTACACCGGTCAAGTGCATGAGTGCTCTGAATTGACTTGCAAGCTTGATACCACCGAGGTATTGGTTATATTTTGTTTTGATGGGCTTTTGTGCTTTTTAACTATATCAACATGCTCTGAGACTGCAATTGTGCTATCTAGAAAAACTTGAGCCAAACGAGCAAATTGCTTGCTTCCACAAACGAGGAATTGAAGAAATCTCAATATGCCATGAAGGAGAAAGATTTCATCATTTCAGAGCAGAAAAAAGCTGGTATTTTCTTAAACGTTACTCTAACCAAATGCTTGGAAAGCTGTCTCTAACATGCTTTCGCATTTTGCCAGAGAATGTGCTGGTTCAACAAGCTTGCATTTTACAATCCAACTTAGAGAAAGCAACCAAAGACAATGCTTCACTACACCAAAAAATTGGTATGTGTCTACTATTTCAGTTGTCTTTTTATTGGCATTATCATAAGGATTGCTAATATGTGATCTATTTGGTGCTGTGCAGGAAGAGAGGACAGGCTCAGTGCGGATAATAGAAAAGTTGTCGATAATTATCAAGTACAACTTTCTGAACAAATGTCCAATCTGTTCAGTATGGTTGCTTCATGTCTGTCCCAGCAAAATGTACACCTTCAGGGTGTTAACAAATTGTCACAATCTCGTTTAGAGGCACACAACAAGGTATCAATTTTTTTCGTTCTTTAGGTTTCCTAACAATCCAGAAGTAGTCTCTTGTCTGAAATTCGCTAATGTTCTAACAGTTGACTAATTTAATTACACTATTTGCAAATCTGTTTGTCCAGGCCATTCTCGAAATGAAAAAGAAAGTTCGAGCTTCTAGGGATTTATATAGTTCTCACTTGGAGGCCGTGCAGAATGTAGTTCGCTTGCATAAGGCAAACTCGAATGCTTGTCTTGAGGAAGTTTCAGCACTGACGACTTCAAGTGCAAGTTCCATTGATGAGGTACGCCTTGTTAGCTTTTTTTTTTCCTTTTCTTTCCATTGACTATTGCTGTGTTCTAAAAGTAGCGGTCTTGTGGATTTCAGTTTCTTGCTTCAGGGGATGATACAACATCGTCGTTATTTGATGAACTTCAGAATGCTCTTACGTCCCACCAGGGAGAAATGGCTCTATTTGCTAGGGAACTGAGACAGGTTAGTGCACATCTAAGCCTTGAAGATTTTACTAAAGCTGTTTACTGATTGTATCTCTTTTGTTCCTAATATGCAGAGGTTCCACACAACGATGGAGGAAACACAGAAGATGTCTGAATACACAAGTACGTTCTTTCAGAAGCTTTTGGAAGAGTCTAAAAATGCTGAGAATCGTGCTGCAGAGGCAAATGATAGTCAAATAAACAGCATCATCGATTTTCAGAAGACTTACGAGGTCACAATACTACATCTCTTCAAGTTTCTTGCTTAGTCTTTTTTTGCTTGAGCCCATCTATAACTGGCATGCGTTGTGCAGGCTCAGTCAAAATCTGATTCAGAGAAA